TCAGTTCAGTATAAGCATTGACTATACACAGAAGATCAATGGTATAAGCAAGGAAAATCTATTCAGCATTGGGTTTATTTCCATAACATTATGTATTTGCAGCAAACACAGTACAAGTAATAAAATCAGAATACTTTTATTCTCCTAGTGTTATTGAGCACACATAATAGCAATAGCTTAGCCAACCAGTTTTTTCTTCTACACTATTTTCATATACAGTTAGTACGAATATTCCATAGCATATTATTCGGTGAAAAAAGAATAATAGGTGTTTAATTTGAGAGTTTATCGTACAGATTTGAAAAAAAATCACAAACCATGCTTATGAAATTACAATGCAAATAAAAATTAAATGAATTTTTGTTCCAAGCTTCAAGATAGCAATAATAATAATAAATATTATAAAACTTATGGGAGTAAAGTTTCTCAATAACGCTGCCGTTTACAGAGCTCTCGTCCAGTTCAAGATATGAACGAAAACGATTGAAACTTTCTACTTTTATTTACTTTTAAGTTTATTGAGTTTTGTCAGTCTGGAAAATAACTACAAACTCGGAATAATTAATGTGCAAACAAGCCAATTATTTTCCTACCTCTAATTTCAAACCTCTAATTATTTTCCTAAAAAGAACGTTTCCTGCACAACTTAACGTTACGCTCTTTTCAATGACACCAAGAACATGTAAATCGGTTCAGTAGTTTCGGGAGAGTAATTAATCACCTTCATTATAAGTTTGAAATATTTTTTTAAAAGATTTAGGGTATACACGTTACATCAGGTGTATAGTATATTATGTGTTTATAATTATTAATAGTTCTTTTGGAATATATTCCATATATGAGAAGTGCCAGATGTTTCGGCTCGAAGCGTTGCACACCCTGATCATTTTATTCATTTTAAGTTTAAGGATTTCTCAGTTGTAATTCAAATGTTATAGTAGATCACTATTAACAGCTCTTTCGCGTGTTAATTCCAAACAGTGTATGTTGGTTTATAAATGGAAAATTAAGTAACACTTATCATGAAATAATCGGTAATCCCTGCAAAAACAAAAAATATGTGAAAATAATTTTGTCAACAGACCTTTTATCTTTCATAAATTCTAAATAAATTAAACTAGTGTCCCTGTTGCTCGAAGTCAAGCAATTGCTAAGTAGTACAGGCGTTATTTTAAAACGAATAACAGTCATAATTTTTAATGACTTTAAACGATTCGTCTCAAAGAATATGGAATAATCAAGATGTACATAACAGATCGATATAATCAATATTTCTTGTAAATATCTTACCATTTTTCAAAAGCTAATCTTATTTTTTAGTGTTTTCAACAAATAACCTTACTCATAGCCGCATTATGTTGTCCATAATAACGATTATAAATATTTAAAAACACATTGTGATGTTCTATGACTTTCCTATGTTTCTATAGTTTGCAAATTGGCTCGTTCAATGATTACTAAGAAATGCAGCACAGTGTTGATTCAGTTTTTTGTATTTCAATTTATCCAGTCTCTCTTGTTTTTTCCATTGTCATATTTACGCCAACCCAAATTCAAATAGTAAATATTTCGTTTCAACCAAGTAAGTAAATGTTTGTCAAACTAACTGTTAAATTAGCAAACTTATTGACTGTTTACAATTAACATGTGTTCTTCTTCTCACTTTTAATTTCTGACAACAGCTGGAGTTTCATAACAATATTTCTTTCTCATGTTAATCTTATGGAGAAATACGAAACTTTAAAGGGCCCCAGGGCCTCACCCTCTAATTATTTTCCTAAAAAGAACGTTTCTTGCACAACTTAACGTTACGCTCTTTTCAATGACACCAAGAACATGTAAATCGGTTCAGTAGTTTCGGGAGAGTAATTGTCACAAAAAACCTGCTTGCGTATTATATAAGTACTAGTGTACATGTTGCTCGAAATCGAGCAATTGCAAAGAAGTACAGGAGTTACATATAAACAAATGACTTGTTTAAAAACTGATTACAGTCATAATTTCAAAGAATTTTAAAATATTCAACTAAAAGAGTATTATTTAATGGAAATACTTACAATTTACATAACAGTCCTATTCCAGTTTAACGGGTTAATTTTTAACTAACAAATTGCTCATGGACGGGAAAAGGTAAGCTTACAATTTAAGTCGACGTAAAAAAGCTGCCAGCTTTTATAATATACCATACCTAAGTTATTTAGCCAATTTGTAGACAATAAGGTGTAGGCTACTTTAAACTCTACTGAACAGTGTTAGGAAAAAACTGGCAGAACTCTGAAATGGTGTTATTTATTTATCATAGGAATACTCATATGCGAAATCTTTAAAATAAAAATTCAATAATTTATAACTTATATAATTTATTATATCATTGTAATAAATAATCTATCATAATGTTTAAGATTAAAATAAACCTACCACACATAGTTGTTTTATTTTTTTGGATCAGCTGTCTGAAATTGTGAAATAGGCATTTGACAGTTCTGATTGTTTACATTTAAATGTCAAAGCAAATGTAAACATTGTGAATTTTCTCATGCTTCCATGGAGACCAATTATTAATATTTAATTTCTGACAACAGCTGGAGTTTCAAAACAATGTTTGTTTCCTATGTTAATCTTATGGAAAAAATACGAAACATTAAAGGGCCTCAGGGCCTCACTCTCTAATTATTTATCTAAAAAGAAAGTTTCCTGCACAACTTCACGTTACGCTCTTTCCAATGACACCAAATACATGTCAATCGGTTGAGTAGTTTCGGAGGAGTAATTGTCACAAAAATCCTGCTTGCGTATTAAATAAGTAACTAGGGAACCTGTGCGGCTCAATGCCCCGCAAAATAACATATGAATTTAGAAAACAAATTCATCGTACTATATATTGACTCGACGTCGAAAATTAAATACATTAATAATAACGCCTTATAAGGGAAGCAGTCCAGTCATTTTCTAGCTGTATGTGTATTATATTTAGTAAATTAATAAGTGTTCAAGTTCAAGTATGTTATAGAAAGCGAGCAAGGTTGTAGGGTAGTTATTTTTTAAATATTTTTAAAACAAATTTAACAAAACATTTTATCATATCAAACCAATAGGCCTATGTAGCATATTTTGAGGGTCATAAAAATGCTGCTTAAAGAAAACACACTTTTAAAAATAAACACTAAAACAACAATATTTTTATCACAAAAGCACTTCCATGAATACTACGATTTTAGCCTTAAAGTTACCTTCAGGAAGATTACCCTGGTCAGAGTTTTCCGTAACGAATATGCGTATCCTATTAAAAGATGTAGCCTTACTTAAAACAACGTATAATATAGTTGCTCATGACTGAAATTGGTCCGGGTAAGAACAGCGCTGCAAATGCCAAAGGTAACAGAAATTAGCATCTTTCCATTTTAAAAGGTAAGTTTGTTTCAGACGGTTAATTTTTATCCTAGAAATGTTTCTGTAAATAAAAATTATCTCCCATGTTATCATTATGGAGAAATACGAAACTTTAAAGGGCTCCAGGGCCCCAATCTCTCATTATTTCCCTAAAATGAAAGTTCCCTGCACAACTTCACGTTACCCTCTTTCCAATGACACCAAAAACATGTCAATCGGTTCAGTAGTTTCGGAGGAGTAATTGTCACAAAAAACCTGCTTGCGTATTAAATAAGTATATAGATATATAGATATAGATAATGCATTCATGGAAGTAAAAGTACAGTGTTTTATCAACTTATAAATTGAACCTGAAAGGCGTAGAGGTGTCAACGTTCGTAACAACGACGTTAAACAAGAAACTTTTTAACCTCTTCTTTTACTTTTAAAGTTTTCTTGTTTATTTTTCTCATTCACACAATTTGTTCTATTACCAACATTGTAGCTGTTATTCACTTTGCACACGAATATATTACTTTATACCTACCCTTGGATAGTATTTACTGCTATTTGTTCAATAAACATAAAATAATACCATTATCATTTTAAAAATTACAATTTAAACACTATTTACACATATTTAAGTACATATGCATAATTTTTCTTGGGAATGAATGAACAAGGCGGACGGGTAAGTGAGACCAGCGCTGTAGGGGATTAACCATGCGTCTGTCTGTCTATCCGACACAATCCGCCATATCGAGATCCTTCTATCAAAGATTACTACAGGATGCATATAGCTTCTTGACAAACAGGTTCTATCATTAATATTCTATTAATATAACTAATATGCTCATATGAACTCGTCTTAAGAGATTGCAGTTTTTAATGCATTTCTGCTTCATTGATTCCTAAATTGTTGCTTCTATTTTTGATTATAAATTATGTATTTTTAGATTTTTGAACACATGACGCATACCTAGTTGAATTCAACATATTAATCATGAACATTTAATGTATTTATGTATATATGTATATATAAATACATTTTATGTATATATAAAAAGATAAAATTATTCTATTGAAAGTGTGGTAAAATTTTATTTTTGAAGTATTCAACAAAATGTTGAATAATATTCTCACCAAATCACTTTACAATTAGTATCATGTATTTATAACTAAGTGTTAATTAATATAAATATCCTGGAACCATTTTATAAGTTTTAACTGGATTACTTAGTTTCTTTTTACTACAAAAAATATAAAACTATATAAAACTGTTACATGTCCCATTGTATAAAATGTGATTGTGGAATGTTAACTAGTTGCACATTGTCAGTATTTAACTGAACAGATTTTGCTAATCAGCTCATAATTAGTGATCCTCTGTCATGCAGGTGCAACGTGTAATCAGGCATGCCACAGTGACTACCTAATGATGTTAGAATATTAAACAGATTTACACGTCGAATCCAAACGGTTTTTACCGCAATATTGTTAACTTCAATAATTATTAATATATTATGTTTGAGATATTTCATGATTTGTTTAACCACAGGTCTTGAGTTAAATCTATGAATACTCTACATTTGTTGAAATTTATGTTGATTCTCAATTTTTTTTCGTTTCAGGTGTCGTAGTTGACTGGAGATGTGACCAAGTGTTCCTTATTATGGCCTATGAGTAAACAATGTCAATTCCGTCGGTGACGTCATCGTCGTGGAGCGGTGGTGGGGGGAGCTCTCCAACCAATCAGCGTTCATCTTCCAACATCAACGCCAGCCTAGACATCTGCATGGCCAAATACCAAGAATATGCCACACCTATTGGAGGTATTTTTTAAATTTTATTATTAAATAACGTTTATTAACAACTGTAAAATAGAGTATCAATGGGAATGTTAGCCTATGTGAAGTATAGAATATTCGATGTACTGAAATGAGAAAGGGTTTATTGTGCAAAAATTCGGAATTAATCACTTGACGGATCATAAATTAACATTTTAAATAACAAATTGTTAGATGAAGGGAATGGTGAAACTACTTTAGTTTTGGGTTTAAATTGTTTAGATTTGTTTTCATTCATCATATGTGACAAAAATTCTGTATTTGGATGAAGATGACATATGTAGCGTTCGTTAGTATATTTATACTAATGGTATTGCTATAATAATTGTTTTGTCTACATGTCCAAAAAATTATTTACCATTGATTAGTATTATGACGTAATAAAAGGCTAGCTGTTATAATTTAGATTTTACCATACGCCATAAATTAAGAAACTCCGTCCTAATACCGTCCACTTATCACGTACTGTACGTATTTATCGATCAGGTAGCCTACGTTAGTCTAATTTTGACTTATTTTCTGAAAAATAATGGACAAAGAAGAAGCTTTATTATGAGTATATTTTATGGGATTGAGATCTCTGTTTGTCTAACTATAAGGAACAAAAACGGACAAAGGTGAATTTATGTAGCCATCCGGTCATACTTGATGTATTGTAAGACTGACCAGTGCTGGTTACCTATATTACTAGCAATGCCATTTTAGTTATATTTTAAACAGAATAGATTAGGTCTATACCTCTAAAAAACAAAACCTAAGTCTAGCAATATACAAAATAAAGTCTAAAAAATTTAATGATAGAATCGTTACAAATGGTTACAGTGGGTTATTAATTTATAAGAGAATATTTTATCAAACGAAAGAGATACATGAATGTTTAAAGCACGATAAACAAACAAAAATAATTTAAATGAATTTGAAATTCTAAAAGTCTTCAAAGAATGTCCATTACAGCGCTATAGTTTTACAACTAACCAGAGCGTAAATTTACTCTAACCATATTTTACTTGTAAATTTAGTCCTTCACGAAGTTAAACTCAAATTCTGCTTATGTTTATGCAAGACAATGTTTGTCAAAAGTAAACAAACCTAAATCACGTAGGAGCTTTCTATAAATTTGCAGCCTGGAAGTTATTGTTTTATTTTCCTCGATATCCTTGAATAGGCATAGCTAGGGATCGTCAAAAGGACGGTGACAAATTACTTGTACAAATAGTAAAACAGAAATATGAACTTAAACAAATATGGAGGAACATTACAGTGAATATATGACCAATGGCATGATGACAGTAAAAATAAAATAATAATAATGTTGGTAAAATATACAATATAGTATTAATAATGTATTAATATGATTCATAATAATAAAGTAAAACCAATGCAGTATTAACAGAATGTATTAGTTAAGCTGCGACATAGCTATAGGTTGGCACTTCTGGAACATATGTTTGAAGAGAGTTCTCAACTCTCCCGCGCTTTGTCTGAGATTCCCGGCAAAATGCTTCCGGCTCCGGGGATCTTCCTTCCCGCCATTACCTATCTACGGAATATACATGTATCCATGAGCACAACTCAACCTATTACCAAATAGCACAAGTCAGCTTAGAGAGCAGACTGAAAAAAATTCAGTTCAAATAAAATATAAGCGAATATCAATACTAAATTTAAAAGATATTTGATTTTTATATATTTGTTTTATCCAGAAACGTTATAATTATGAATTTGTAGACTTAACCTGAACCAAGTATACAATATGCATTGCTAACTAACTTTAGAAGTAAAGATGCACCCACTTAAGACAAACCATTATTAATTATTACCTACCGCATTAATAATTAATCCAGTAAAGTACAGGATTGTGTTTAATACAGTAAAGTTGGAAGTTATTAAATTTATGATGACTACTCTTATGAGCTGAAATAAGCCAATGAAAACCAACAGCTTTAGGTCATCAATGTATTGTGTTTAGGTAGTCATTGGCATTTGGATTAATTATTTATGCAATGACCTGATTAACTAGATTTATTAGCTAATGCTCTATGATTCGATTTTGATTTGACCCACAATATGAGTTAAACTACAGTCGTGCGTTGTTGGAAACAAACAGAATCAACCAACAATTTTAAATTATTGTAGCTCCATCTCATCAGGGAAGAGAAAAAGCAAGCATATGAAATATTTATTTTAAGAGTAAAATCTGTTTAGAGTAAAAAATGTGTCAAACAGCATATACTAATCTTTCCGTTCAATAAGGGATGTTCATGTCATTATTTTTTAAAGCAGTTCAAGAAGTCAATTCTCACACAAAGAGTTGTCTATCCACGGAAAGGAATCAATAACCATGCCCAGTTACCATGACACCGATTGTATCCTCTAATCTGTAGAATGTCTTTTGAAGTTAAGTAATCCAAAATCAATGTCCACCTTTGAACAGATAATTTGGACATTTTACGTATATACATGCTAAAACAAATTTGGATAGAGGTACTTTTATTCTGTATTAAACGTATACTTATTGGTTGTAACGATGGTTTATGACAAAATAAGTATTGTTTCCTATTATGGCATAGTTATTTTATTATAATATAAATTTAAAAACACTCAGCACGCTTAGTTTTATTTTAAGAAATATAAAAAAAACTAACCTTTTTAGCAAATTTTCCATATAGGGAATCCGCTACTACAGTAAGACCTGGTAAGACCCGTCCATCCATGGTAAGACCTGGACCCGGGACTGATTTACTTTTTCGTTTTGAGGTCCCCAGAGGCCAAAAACACCATACGTTCAAATTCATATATATTTATATATGAGTGTCCGTTAGCACGATAACTCGAGCAAAGATTATCTGATTTTGATTAAATTGGGTATGAACGTGTGAACCTGCATGTATTCGAACGAGTTCGCAAACCATCATGATAGGACTATGGGAACAGTGTTTTAAGGGCGGGTTTCATGGGGTAAAAATGGCTATTTACATTTTTCACCCTGTAAACATAAAGTTTTTGAATTTCTTTACAAGCCATTTTGAAGAGGTCAAGAAAACAAATAATTTAGTATATTGAACCAATGTTGTATGCCTAACAAGTTACGGAAAAATCCCAAAAATGTGTAAATTTAAATTTACCATGTTATTCTTATGGAAAATAAATAAACTGTTGTAGTAGAATAAGTAGAAGTAGAAATAAGTAGAAAAAGTAATCTATGGATATATTTTAATGAAATTTGGAAATGTTGTTTACTTTATACTAAGCTATCAATATTTCAATAAAAACCCTATTTTCTTCCCTGTAGCAGCAAACCTCTCTCGTCAAAATCAATGATATTTAAATAGGAAATAAATCTGATAGTTTTAATGGAATAATTTAGTGGAATTTCAGCCAGATAGATGAAAATTTGCTTTGTATGCAGGTTTGCTGTGGTGCGGGTATTTTAAATATACATATTTAAAGTTGAACAAAATTATTAATTCCAAAATACTATTGTTAAACTGTTTAGATTAACCGGGGAAACAAATCAAATTTTCTTCTCGTTCCCTTCTCGTACTTTATTCTTTGTCAGCCACAAACAAAGTTTATTTAGTGTAATAAAACCAAGGTCTGTTTTATATCTCGGCGCAGCTTAACTTTACAAGTTAAAGTCTCCATTAGGTCACTTTACGGCTCTAAATACACAGAGATTTAGGTAATAAGTACACAGTTCACTATACAAGTTTGCTATTTAGTTTAATTTAGCAGGCCTACCGCATTTCAGTTCCACAAAATAAACCTAGCACATTTTCTAATGTATTCTTTAAACTTCCATATTATCAAAAGAATCAAACTGCACCTATTATAGTAGTGATTTTGTTTATTAAACCTAAAACTATTTGTTTTTAACTGCACGTACAATAGTATTTTTACTCTAGAAGTATTTGGAATAATAATTTAATTCAATTGTTATCATATAATTTTACATTTTTTGTTTTTGTTTAATTGTACTAAAAATTAGAGATACAAATATATAAGAAAAAATTTTTATTTTGAATATTAAGCGCGATATGGAGCTTGAAAGTGGTAAATTTTTCATCTTTGGTACCAATTCACAGGGAGAATGGGTAATGCAATTCTCACCAAAATTGGCATTCAGGTGTGGAAAAATAAGGTAATAATCACTAGCTAATTAAAATTAGAAATTGAAAAAAAATTTAAATTTTATTTTTTATAAATTAAAAAACAAAAAATTTAAAAAATTTAAAATAGCTGTTTGTTTTTGGGGAAAATGTATCTGTATGTTGGAATTTAAAAAAAATTTTATATGTCAACTCGTTTGGGCTGTGAATTCGTACCTTTGATGCCTTGCTCTGTCGGAGCACTACTCGTTGAGAGTTTGTACACTAACACCGGGGCTTTAGAACACTTAAACATAACGTAATTATTAACATCCTTTAACATTGAAAGAATACGTTTATCGTTGTATTCTAAAGCCCCGGTGTTAGTGTACACACTCTCAAAGAGTAGTACTCCGACAGCGCAAGGCATCAAAGGTACGAATTCACAGCCCAAATGGGTTAACATATCACATTTTTTAAAACTCCAACATACAGATACATTTTCCCCAAAAACAAACAGCTATTTTTTAATTTTTTAAAAAAGTTTTTTTTTAATTTATAAAAAATAAAATTTAAAATTTAAAATTAAAAAAAAAATTGTAATTTTAAATAGGATTATTATCTTATTTTTCCACACCTAAATTCAAATTTTGGTGAGAATCGCATTACCCATTCTCCCTGTGAACTGGGACTAAAGATTACAAATTTACTACTTTCAAGCTCCATATCTCGCTTAATATTCAAAATAAATAATTTTGTCTTATATATTTGTATCTCTAATTTTTATTACAATTGAACAATAACAAAAAATAAGACATAATATTTTTTACCCAACACCCTTAAGTAAAACGTCGAATTTACCCAGAACTTGTTATCATGTATATGTTATACAATGTA